AAAAAAAAAAAAAAATGTGTGACAAAGGACTAATTTTCTATCTATATGGCTACAAAGTTTGCTTATAAACCATTCAGAAAAAGGCCACTGACTTAGTTTTTGCTGCTAGAACAAAATATCATAGACTGGTTGGCTATAAACAATAGAAATTTATTTGTCATAGTTTTGTAATTTGGGAAGTCTGAGATCAGGGTGTTAGTAGTATGGTTGGGTTCTGGTGAGGGCCACTTCCTTTTTTCTTTTCTCCTTTTATTTTTGAGACAGAGTGTCACTCTGTTGCTCCCGGCTACAATGCCATGGCATCTGCTCAGCTCACAGCAGCCTCAAATTCTTGGGTTTAGGTTATCCTCCTGCCTCAGCCTCCCAAGTAGCTGGGACTATAGGTACCTGCCACAGTGCCCAGCTAATTTTTTCTATTTTTTGGTAGAGATGGAGTTTTGCTCTTGCTCAGGCTGATTTTGAACTCCTGAGCTCAAGGGATCCATCTGACCCAGCCTCCCAGAACACTAGAATTACAGACGTGAGGGCTGCTTCCTGATTTCTTCCATTGGGGAGAGCAGAGAGAAGGGAAGCTCATCATCTCTTATAAGGGTACTAATGCTATCAGGAAAGCTGTACCATCGCAGATGTCTAAACTCTTTTGTAAGAAAAACAAAATTGGCTGGCTTGGTGGCTCACACCTGTAATCCTAGCACTCTGGGAAGCTGAGGTGGGTGGATTGCTTGAGCTTATGAATTCTAGACCAGCCTGAGTAAGAGCGAGATCCCATCTCTACTAAAAGTAGAAAAACTGAGCCAAGACGATTGCTTAAGCCCAAGTTGGAGGTTGCTGTGAGCTATGACGCCATGGCACTCTACCCAGGGTGACAGCTTGAGAGTCTGTCTCAAAAAAGAAAGAAAGAAAGAAAGAAAAAACTACAGAGAGTTATAATTTCTCACCTATCAAATTGGCAAAGATCAGAAAGTAGAAAAATGTAATTTGATCAGGGCATGGGGAAATAGGCACACATCCATTACTCATGTAAATTGGTGCAGCTGCTTTGGACAGCACTGTGGCAGTTCAGAAGGCTTAATTACATGGGTATGTACCTTGTCCACTAGTTCCACTTTTATGAATTTGTTCCTGGTACAGTGTACTAGGAAGTATAGATAACAACGATCCTTGCAGCACTGTTTAGGGTAGCAAAGGATGGGAAACTGTCTACATGCACTGGTTTGAAATGATCTCCAAGAAATGTTAAGTAAAAAAGGCAAGATATGGGAAGGGAAAAATGGGGACTGATTGCTTAATGGGTGTAGGGCCTCCTTTAGGGGGCGACAAAAATGTTTTGGAGGCCAGGTGCAGTGGCTCACGCCTGTACTCCTAGCACTCTGGAGGCTGAGGTGGGTAGATTGCCGTGAGCTCAGGAGTTTGAGACCAGCCTGAGCGAAGCAACACCCTATCTCTACTAAAAATAGAAAAAACTAGCCTGGTGTTGTGGTGCAGACGCCTGTAGTCCCAGCTACTCAGGAGCCTTAGGCAAGAAGATTGCTTGAACCCAAGAGTTTGAGGTTGCTGTGAGCTACGATGCCATAGCACTATACCCAGGGTGACAGAGTGAGATCTGTCAAAAAAAAAAAAAATGTTGGGTGGCACCTGTGGCTCAAGGAGTAGGGCACCAGCACCATATACTGGAGGTGGCAAGTTCAAACCCAGCCCCAGTCAAAAACTGCAAAAATAAATAATAAAATGTTAAAAAAAAAAACCTATTAAAAAAATGTTTTGGAATTGGATAGAGGTGATAGTTGTATAACTTTGTTTTTTATTTTTTTTATTTTTTTTGAGACAGAGCCTCAAGCTATCCTCCTGGGTAGAGTGCCATGGCATCACAGCTCACAGCAACCTCCAACTCCTGGGCTCAAGCGAGTCTCCTGCCTCAGCCTCCCAAGTAGCTGGGACTACAGGCGCCCGCCACAACGCCTGGCCATTTTTTGGTTGCAGCCATCATTGTTGTTTGGCGGGCCCCGGCTGGGGATTCGAACCTGCTACCTTAGTTGTATGTGGCTGGTGCCTTAGCCGCTTGAGCCACAGGCGCCGAGCCAGTTGTATAACTTTGTGATGCTAAACATCACTGATTGTACGTTTAAAAATGGTTAATTTTATGATGTGTGAATTTTACCTCACTTTTAAAAGAGGCAAAATGTAGAGCAAAGTTCACCCCTCTTTGGGTTAAAAAATATGACTGGGAACAGGGGATGATAGTGTGTATATGATTGCATATTATTAGAATTTTCCAGATGGATATACCAGAAACGAGTTAGTGTTGCTACTGGGGAGGAGAACTGGGGAGTTGGGGTGCAGAAGCGGCAGGGAGCGTGTCTCTTCCCGACTCTCCTTCTGTACCACTTTATCTGCTTACCACGTATACACAGGCAGCACTTATTTGAAAAAACAGTTGTTTGTCTTAGGCCAGGTAGGTCATGCTATACTTAACTCCTCAGGGCCTAGCAATTACTCTTTATATCTTTTGCTCATTCTTGGTCACAGCCCATAATTAGAGATTTATATTATGTTGTTTGTATTTTCTAGGACATTTTATTCAGCCTATGGATCTGGTCCAAAAGCTTTTGATTTGTTCAATCCAAACTTCAAGTCTACCTGTCAACGGTAAGCCATTTTACAAGTCCTGGGAGATATATATATATATATATATTTTAAAGGATTTAGTTATCAGTTTGAGGAGTTCTGTTGAGATAGATGTTCTTACAGGAAGATCTGTTAAGGGAATATTTGATACTGTATAACAGCGTGTCTTGACAGTTCCAACATAACATATAGAACTAAGATGTGACTGCTTGGAATCCCAGGTTTGTGGAGAAATACACCGAGCTACAGAAACTTGGAGAAACAGACGAAGAGAAGTTATTTGTGGAAACAGGGAAGGCTTTATTGGCAGAAGGTGTCATTTTAAGACGAATAGGAGAAGCAAGGACTGTGAGTATTTTATTGTTAAAATTATTACTAGATTACAGTAAACGTGTCATAGTATTTGCATATATAACTTACACACATTCTCCTATATACCTTATAAATCATACCTAAGTTCATCATAATACTTAATATAGTGTCAATGCTATGTAAATAGTACATGCTGTATTTTTTGTAATTTATATTCTTTTTTAAAAAGTATTATTTTAGAGATGGGGTTTCACTCTGTCTCTCAACCTAGCTCGTAGTTCATTGCAGCCTTGAACTCCTTGCCTCAAGCAATCCTTCTACCTCAGCCTCCAAAGTAACTAGGATTACAGGAGCAAGCCACTGTGCTCGGCTAAAATTTGTGTTATTTTTTATTTTTTAATTAAAAAAATCGTTTCCATCTGTACTTGGTTGAATCCACATATGTGAAGCCTTTATGCAGTAGGTATACTGTTGCATATTTGTTAGAAGTTAGGCCAAGCATGGTGGCTGATCCCTGTAATCCTAGCACTCTGGGTGGTATTGCATCGGGTGGATCACCTGAGCTTAAGAGTTTGAGACCAGCCTGAGCAAGCGCGAGACCCTATCTCTACTAAAAATAGAAAAAACTAGCCAGGAATTGTGGTGGGTTCCTGTAGTCCAGCTACTTGCTCCCAAGGGCTGAGGCAAGAGAATTGCTTGAGCCCAGGAGTTTGAGGTTGCTGTGAGCTGTGATACCGCAGTACTCTAGCCAGGGTGACGGAGTGAGACTCTGCCTCGAGAAAAAAAAGAGGTTAAAGGGAGGCTTGTTTTTCTTGTCCCAACTGTGGCTCATGTTCTTAAACTCCAGGTCAAATCCCATTAGGCTGAACATAACTGTGGTAATAGCTGCTACTTGGAACAGATGAGTTACTATTAGGGCTTTTGAAATTGTGGTTCTATAGAAATCTTTATCATGTTTACTGTTTGTTATAATAGAATTTGACCTGAGAGATTAGTGCTGAATTTTTCACTCAGTAACAGATTGTGCCTAGTCATATGACTTTAGACAATTAGTTGAGTGAAAATGCTAACATCTGTGTGAAGTACTTACATAGTGGGTCTTCTAAGCAACAGGAAGGCGGTCATGTTTCCCGGAAACCTGAACACACGAGTGTCACACCCCAAACTGCAATGGAAGGGAACCAGCCTCAGAGAGAAGTCCCACAGGACCAGCACTTGGAGGCACCCGAAGAACAGTCGAAAGGTCTCTCGCAGCCCTGAGGATTGAATACTGTGTATACTGACAGCCACACTTACTAGCTGAATGCTGAGCTATTTTTAACAGTTGAACTGTGTAAATGTTTTTTAATCTCTAAGGCATGACGTTTGCCTTCTCTTAGTTCTGATTTCTGGGTAGCTCAGTATCATGGTTTGAAAGAACCAGTCAGGTGAACTTTTATGTTAGGACATTACTAAATAAAGAATTCCCTAGGGCTTATAAAGTAAATTTACTTTGAAATGGTAAATTACATGAGGAAACCTTTATAAAGATTGTTTGAATGGGACTCCTGAGTAGGCTTGCATGGGTGTTTGAGTTAGCACATGGGCTGGCTGCATTGGATTCCCCAGTATGGATCTCTTCTATGGATGCATCAGACTTCTGTGTATGCATGGTGTGGTCCCTTGGCTGGCTGTTTGTGTCTGCCCTTTTTGCTATAGAACTATGAACCTTCAACTTGAGAGGTTAGGCTGACTTGTGCTTTGTAGTAAGAGTGAGGACCTGATACTGCTGAGGGACCATAGGCCAAGACTATAATCTTATGGACTAAGATTAAAGACTGAACTCAGAGCGTCTCTTGGTAACTGGAGTGTCAAGAGGGAGGCGGCTGAGTTAGATGATGCTCTCCACCAGCATCCGCCTGACTCCCCGGCCCGGGGTGTGTTTACCAACTGTCCTGCCTTCCTCAGTTCCCTGTGTTTTACTAAATAAAGGAAATATTCCTCAGAGACTATAGCCTTTGCATTTGTGATCAAGCCATTGGTTTTCAGCTCCTAGTAATAAATTGCTTCAGAAATTTCCTTATTTGAAAACTGTGTTGCTCTTCTTACCCACTCATTCCTTGTTTGTTTGTTTTTTTTGTAGAAACAGAGTCTTACTTTATCACCCTCGGTAGAGTGCCGTGGTATCACACAGCTCACAGCAACCTCCAACTCCTGGGCTTAGGCAATTCTCTTGCCTCAGCCTCCTAAGTAGCTGGGACTATAGGCACCCACCATAAGCCTGGCTATTTTTTTGTTGCAGTTTGGCCGAGGCTGGGTTCAAACCCACCACCTTCAGCATATGGGGCCAGTGCCTTACTGACTGAGCCACAGGTGCCGCCAACCCACTCATGCTTTGTTACAGTCCCTTCTCTCTCCTGGTGGACTGCAGTGCAGGGGCTGCTCTGTGTCTCCCAGCTGCACGTAGTACACGTTCTTGTACAGGGGTGCTCGTTCACACAGTCAATGAGTACATGAGGCAAAAGCAGTTCTCAGCCACCCTGCTCCCGCCTGACCCTAATTCTCATGTTTGGAGGATGCCTTGTTTTCAGATAGGCAAGTACATTTCATCCATTCAAAGACATTAGACAACCATTGGGTACCAAATATCAGGCCAGACCTTGGGAAAAGGACTTAAGCAGGTGAAGGAGATGGTTCTGTTCTCAGAAGAACGATCAGGTCACTCGTTATCTCTCTAAACCTTAAGTTTTTGAGTTTTTTTTTTTTTATTTTTTTAAAACAGAGTCTCACTTTGTCACCCTGGTAGAGTGCCATGGTGTCAAAGCACACAGCAACCTCAAACTTTTTGGGCTCAAGCAGTTCTCTTGCCTCAACCTCCTAAGTAGCTGAGACTACAGGTGCCCGCCACAATGACCCACTATTTTTTTAGAGATGGGGTCTCGCTCTTGCTCAAGCAGGTCTCGAGCCTGTGAGCTCAGGGCAATCCACCTGCTTGGGCCTCCCAGAGTGCTGGGATTGCAGGTGTGAGCCACTGCGCCTGGCTGGTTTTTGGGCTTTTAAAGACAGTTTCTTTGTCACAAGGAGGAAGACTTTTAAAGAGTTGTTTACCTAATCCTTTAAAAAATTACGCATATACATGGTTCAACATTTAAAGTTAGAAAGCCAGTCTTCTACACACCCCTGCCTGTCAGCCACCCATTTCCCCTCCTCTGAGGGCACCACTGTTACCATTTCCTTGTGTGGCCTTCCAGAAGTATTTTGGGCATCTATGTGGGACACTATGCATATTGTTTGGCACCTTGTTTTTGCAGTTAATATGTCTCAAAGATCCTTTGTGTGGATGTGTCATGATTTAATCGTGGCCCAATGAAAATGTTCATTGTTTCTGTTTTACTGTGCTGTTAACAGGATGGGCTAGTTAGGGGATGCTGGATCAAGGAACAGCTCATCTTCAGTTTCGATACTTTCTTCCATAGAAATTGTGCTAAATCATCCTCTCACCAGCCTTGCCTGTTTCCCCCACATCTGATCTCGTCAAAGCAGACCGGGAGTCTCAGGACAGCCTCAAATTTGGCAGAAGGGAGAGAGACCATCCCTGTTGAGCAAACCTGGGGATGGAAAAAAGCTGCTGTCACTCGCTGACTTCTTGAATTTCTATGATCAGAACATAGTGAAAGGTGTAAAGCTTACTTGGGGAAACTCAGACTGATTCCCACAGTTAGGGCAAAAGCCACCAACAGTGTTTTGGAGAGAATGGAGATGTGACCTTGTTCTTGCCTTTCAAGAGCTTAAGTCTAGTTAGAAAACCAAGAGTAACTTGTGAAACAGCAAGATGAACAAGGTGCAGGGTGTGAGGGATCAGGTCTGGGCTCCTCTGGGAATGCTGCTTAATCCTGGAAGGGCACGTGGGGTTGAAGTGTGTGTGCTGTTTCTTCTGCCCAAACCATCCTCCCTTCCACCGTGGTCTTTAGGAATCAGACCTTTTCTTTCTTTTTTTTAGAGACAGAGTCTCACTTTATTGTCCTCAGTAGAGTGCTGTGGCATCACAGCTCATAGCAACCTCCAACTCCTGGGCTCAGGCGATTCTTTTGCCTCAGCCTCCCAAGTAGCTGGGACCACAGGTGCCTGCCACAATGCCCAGCTATTTTTTTCGTTGCAGTTTGCCTGGGGCTGGGTTTGAACCCTCCAACCTCGGTATATGGGGCCGGCTCCCTACCCACTGAGCCACAGGCGCCGCCCAGGAATCAGACCTTTTCAAATGGTGTGTCTTCTTGGAAACTATTTAATGTTCAAATCAAGTGACAAGTCCCTTATCAAACCCCCTACCGATTGCACTCACAAGGTGCTTTGCTGCAGTTAGTACACCTGGCCTGCTGTTGGTACACCTGCCCAATTTGCTGTGGCCTTCATTCAGGTGATAAATATTGTGTCCCTATTAAGAGTGTAGATGAGAGCAGAAATTCGTATTCTTTGTATCCACAGAAGTATTAAACAGCCTTTCAGGAGCCAACCTGCCTATGGGTTTGCTGAGCCCAAGGAGAGGCAGGCATGTGTCCAGGTTATAGTGAAGTTTGCACCAGACAGGAATGAAGATCGGCGTTCTAGTTCTGGCATGACCTTGTGCCTGCCACTGCCTCCCAGCCTGCAAAATAAGGACAGTGTTTGCCTCTTTGGCCTCCAGTTAGTGTTGTAAAGATTGAGATAATGAATACAAAACTCATTTGTAATATGTGCGGCCAGTGCTTTCAGTACTATTTTGAAAAGTAGTGGAAAGCCCATTTGAACAGATAGGATAAGATCAGATCACAGTGGCCTTGACAACTATAGGAAGGAGTTCAGTTGGGTATCGGAAGGTTTGAGTAGGGAAGAAATGTAGTGAAAGCAGGGGCAGATCAAAGGAAGATTGGACTACCAGTGACGTAAAGGATAGGATGGGGGAGTGGGCAGGGAGGGAGGAAAGAGGGGGCATGTCAGGCAAGGAGGCAGCAGCTATATCAAGGTATAAGCCTGAGTGACCAGAAGACTGATAGTCTCACAGCCAGCCAGCTGGGGAAGTGGAACTGACTCTCAGGGAAGAGACCCATTCTCAGCCTCTGGAGTTGGCAGTGATGGTGCAGTGTTCCAGTGGCAAGATAGGATAGGTATCTGGGCAACAGAAAATGCCTAGTACAGGGGAAGATTTGGAGGCAGGGGAATGGAGAGAGACCCACGATGTCAGGGCTGGCACGGTGAATGCTTTCAGTTAAAGAATAGGAGGAATGAGAAAGCTAACAAAAAGAAACTGACGTGTGAGCGGCCCCTGTGGCTCAAACGAGTAGGGTGCCAGCCCTATATGCTAGAGGTGGTGGGTTCAGATCCAGCCCCTGCCAAAAAAAAACTGCACGAAAAAAAGAAACTGACATGTGCATCTTCTGTCATCTAAGACTTAAATGGTTCTGGATTTAGCAGATTTTTTGCCTTTGCTTTTGTTGGGTAGACCTGATCCTTGATTGGTGTCCACAAAAGGCTAGCGCAATCCTTTTTGTAGTTTTGTATAATACTTAGTGTCAAGAGTTCATGGATAATGAAAGTGGTTTTGCAGAATAATCTGCCCCTAAAGGATTCTTGATTTTGTTAAAACAATACCTTTCTGTCTGAATGAATGATGGCTTCCTGTTGAAATATGTCCAGCAGATTTCTGTTTTTAAACAAAGTCATTTAAATAGGATAGGCACTGGTGCCCACCCCTGCTCCTGGGCGTGCAAACGAAGTACGCTGGAATCATTCATCCATCTTTCTCGGCTCTTGTCCATGAGCAAGTCTGACTCAGAACAGGCTGGCAGTTTTCCTGAATACATGGGAGTGAGGGCATATAACACGATGTGATGCCGATAGTGAAAGCAAGCTGACAAGGCCTCTGCAGAAGATCGTGGAGCTAGGAGCAAAGAAAGACCAGTGAGGTTGGGGTGGGGCTGGGGTGAGAGGGCCAGGGAGGCAATTATTTTCTTCCTGGGTCTCTGTGTTCCAGAGCCCTATTCCGGAACAGCCAAAAGGTAGAAGGCTGAGTCTGGCTAAGTTAGTCATGTGTTTCGAGCCTTTGACTGTGCTCGGTGAGATGAGAGATGCCTGAGCAGGTTCAGTGAGCAACTTGGTTGAGGTCACCTTGGCTGGCAGAGGAAAGGCACCTTCCCTCCTATGGAAAAGACAGGAAATGGCTTTCATGTCACTCCTAGGGTAGCGTACAGTGCGGCAAGCGGCTCTCTGATTGGATGAGTTCAGCACTGAAGCAGTTTCTGTGATGATGCTGAACCAGACAAGTGGTTATTGCTGCAGCACGAAAATGAAAAGGTTGCTAGGGGAGCCAGACAAGGCAGGAAGTTAAGTGTTCTGTTCCCTACAAAATGTCGACACTGCCAGCCACCACCACCACCATCCTCTGTCCGTACAGATTACAGAAGGGGGATTTTTGTTGAATACTAGCCGATGGTGAACATACATTTCAGGTATAGTTTTACCCTCAACTGATGCTTTTCCGGGATTGCAACTTAAATAAATGTCAGTCACCGGACCTTGTAGTTGCTCAGTCCTTTTAATTAAAAGATGGTTCTGAGCAGTATCCAGTAGTGAGCTATTTATTATTTATCAAGCATTTTCCTTCCTGCAGTTAGTGAAAGGTCAATGGCTTCCACCGATGCTTTGTTTTTGGTGAACAGATTAGATGAAAAAAGATAACACAGTCAGTTTCTGCTCCCTCCTGTTGGCTCACGGGCAGGACACTGTTTAATAGTCATTGTGGCATTTAGGATCTTGGGCCTCTGAAACACGCCGAAAAGTGCATGTGCGTTTCTTGCCGCTGAATGTTTCTCCAAAAGTAAACATCAGGTTGTGATTATGGTTAATAATGAGCTATTGATTGTTTGAAAATGTCACCGCCAGGAACCAGCAGCACCGCTAGATGGCGCTGCCCTCATGCTGATCAACTACAACCATTTCTTTCCTTGCCTCGGGGTCCCTTGCCTTTCAAGGTTG